CACTTCCCTTCCCACCTCCCTTTATTGAAAACCTCCCACTCCTGTTTCCTTTACCCAGGGCCAGGCGCTCAGCTTGCTGCCTGTTAATAAGCACTAAGTTCCCTCCCCAAGCTCGAGCATTTTAACAGCTGGTAATCTATGCTCTGAAGGAGCTGCTGTCTGGATCCCAGGGGCAGAGACTGGAGAAGGGCAGGACTAAATGGGAAAAATGGAGATGGGGAGGAAGAGTTGCAGCCCAACAGACTGGGCTCTGAGATCCGCTGTTGGATCAGCGAGCTGGGCACATTGCTTTGCTTTAGTTTTGGATGAAATGGGACTAAGGTCACTTCCTAAGGGCTCCTTGCGATGATTAAATTAGGCACATGTGCAAAGTCGCCAGATATGCAGGACTTTTTACAAATACTAAAAATGAGATCTAAGAGGCCAGGGAGAGGTCTGCCTTGTTCACTGTTCCCCAGGCCCCTAGCACAGAGCCTTGCTGATGGAGTCGTTCATCACTGGATGCTGAGTGAACAGGGGAGAAGCACAGGGCAAGGGGTCCTTGGGCTTACGTACTTCCCTCTGTGTGCAGGGTGTACGGGGTGTGCGATCCCAGGGTGAGCGCTGAGCTTTAGTGCCGGACTGGGAGCTCTGCTGGCTCCTAGAGACAGACTGCCCTGTGGTGAGGAGGTGGCCCCTGCTTGTGGCATCGATCCTACCATTGCCCAGAGCTTTCTGGCCAGAAATAGGGCAGCCATGATGGGGTTTTGAGGTTGGTGAAAAAACATGGCAAGGATTGAACGGTAGACAATCTTTGCATTTCAAGAGACCAGAAAGGCAGAGGGCAGGAATAAATTAGGAGTTTGGGATTAACATATATACACTAGTATATGTAAAATAAATGACCAATAAGGACCTACTGTAGAGCACAGGGAACTATACTCAATATCTTGTAGAAACTTATTATGGAAAAGAGTCTGAAAAACTACATATATGTATATTTATATATATAAATATAACTTTGTTGAATTACTTTGTTGTACACTTGAAACTAACACAACATTGTAAATCAATTATACTTCAATTTAAAAAAGAGGGGGTAGGGTATAGCTCAATGGTAGAGTGCCTGCCTAGCATGCACAAGGTCCTGGGTTCAATTCCCAGCACCTCTATTAAAAATAAATAAATAAATAAACAAACCTAATTACCTACCCCTCACCCCCACCCCCCACAAAAGAGAGAGAGAGACCAGAAGGCTCATGAGGAGATGCTGAGGTAGGGTGTGTGCAAAACAGTAGACCAAAATCCTCCCTTCCAGAGAAACCAGCTTAGGGGTTCTGGAGATGAGTCCCTAACCTCCCTGTGCCTGGAATTAAAGCTGGAAGAAAGGGCATTTCTTAAGGAGAGAGGGAAGATATTGGCTTCACTGATGTGCTATGTGCAGATATATACTTCCTCCATCTTCCCCTGGTCTTCGTGGTACTTATCTGTCTTTTGGAGACTCTTGGCTGAGGGTCCATCATCTTGGTGTCTTGTATCAGAGAGGCCATGGAGACAATTTTTGCTGCATGAAGCTGATGGTGGCACCATTCCTCAGCTCTTCTCTTCCTGAGCTTCTGAACCTCCAACCTCCTCCCCTCCACATGCCCCCAGCCAGGGCACTGCAGGCTGTGGTCCTGTCCAGTCACTGGAAGTTTGTCCCCTTACAGGGATTGAGATCATGTCATTCCCCCCACTCCTACCCCAAATCACATACCCATCAAAGGCTTCAGGGACAGAAAGTTGGCTTTTGAACAGTTAAAAACAGATATGCAGTCACAGAGAAGAGCAATCAAGAAACACACTTTAAAAGAATTGCGGCAATGATACGTTTACTTGAGAATTGACTGAGAATAGACTTTGCTGCAGCCAAGAGGTAACTTATTTGGAGACAGGATGGGAGTGTGAGTGTCATCAGACATTCACGTTACTGCTTCAGTGCACACAGAAAAGGTAGACCTTATTTTCTGTGATAGATATAATCTCTTCACCACCTTTAAGGGCGTGGGGAGGAGCAAACTTGAAATTTGCTGGTTTGTGATATTTCAGTATCTTCTGTCTTTGGGACGACTCAGGCTTTGCATTTCCTCTCCCTTCCCCTGCTCCTCTCCCAGCTGGCAACTGGGGGCTTTGAGACCTGGCCCTGGCTGGGAGAGGGCGTCTGGGACCCTCACTGGGCTCTGCTGTGGAGTGGCTGGGCTGGCCTGGCTTCAGGAATGGTCAACATAGAGGGTCATTGGTCCCATTTGGCCTTTTGGGGACCCATGCTGGCTTAAAGTCCTGTCCCCTTCATGGGAGGCCAATTGTCCATTCTCAAGCTGCACACAGTCCTCCAGGCCGAGGGTTGCCAGGAATCCAGGGGCACTGCGCTCAGCTCACCTGTCCGCCCCTTTCCTCCCAGGCAGCGCTGCAGCCCCATGGGGTGCTGCGCCCGCTGAAACCAGGATGTCTCTGAGAGGCGTGGAGCCACTCAGGCTGTTCTGAGATACAAGGCTTCAGCCCCCTCGTTACACCCATTGTGGTGTTTCCACCCTCCTTCCTCCCATGGCTCAGCGGGTGCAGGCCTGGGGGTGCAGGGTAAGGACTCAGTGACTGGCCTCCTCATTCTTCCTCCGTCTCTTTTCTTTTCCAACTTCCCCTGGGGCGGAAGGGTCTAGCTTTCCACTTCCTCTTCCTTTTTACCACAGACTGTCCCACTGATATTTTCTCCTTATTATTTGCATAAACCTCATAGCAGAGCCTCAAAGGCCAAAGAGCTATTTCCTCTAATCTGGAAGACTCTACAGATCTGGGTGGCAAGGCCTGGTTCTTGAAGTGTTACTGGCGCCAGAGAAATGCAGAGTTCTCTTGTATCGTCACAAAGCCTGACTTCTGATACTATTTTGATCAGCGTTTCCCAGACTCCCTTTTTCTCTTTGCAAACCTTGACCTATCCTAACCCCCTCTGAGAAGACAGCAGAAGCAGCTATGCTCAAGAGAAAGCCCAAAAGTGAAAATTTGATGTGTTAGACTTGCCTGGATGTGGAGAGGATGTGAGAGTCGTGGGGATCCTTGGCTCTCTAAGCATCAAGCCCTGCCCCTCCCGCCGCCACTCCCACAACTCTCCCCTTCGCTCACTCCACACTGGCCTCTTTTGGTACCTAGACATGTGAGCCTTTTTGTCATCAGGGTCCTTCCAGCCAATCCTTCCCTGCAGACGAGCTGTTCCTTCTCCAGCTGCTCACAAGACTGGTTTCTTCTCAGTCATTAATTCTTTCAACATGTTTTTATTGAGCCCAGTGATCAGGCACCACTATACTAGGTGCTGGGGATTCAATGAGCAGCAAAAGGAACCTATGATCTAGAAAGAGGGAGACCCAGTTCATCCCATGGGTGACTCTACGTGTTAGGAGAGAGAAGGACAGTGCTGTGAGGACTCGTAACAGGGTAATCTGACTGGGTTAGAGGCCAGGGGATGCTTTCCTGAGGAAGTGGCGATGAAGCTGAGTGTGAAGGAGAAGGAGTAATGGACTTGGCCGGGAGGAGAGGAAACAGTTGGTGCAAAGGCCCTGTGGTGGGAGTGGAGGGAGGTTCATGGCCAGGACCAAGGGCTCAAGGAAGTTCTGGTGGCTGAGGTGGAAGTAGTGAGCAGAGGGTGATCTTGCCCCAAGTCCGGGCTGTATCCCATCCCTGGCCAAGTCCCACCGTTTCTGCAGTCTCAATATCTCAAATCTACGCTCTTGTCTCCCTCTCCGGCAAAACGCCGCTGACCTCCATCAACTAAGGCTGAGGGATGTTTTCAGGCTTCACTGGCCCCTCAGAGCAGCATTCAGCTGCCTCCTTCCTATGGCTTCCACGGTGCAGCCTCTTCTGCTTTGCTGCCTTCTTTTCTGATGGATGCTGTCTGTCTCTTTTGTATGGTTTGTCCTCTTCTACCTGCAACCAGCGCTGAGTTCCAGAGTTTCTCCAGGTCCAGCCCCTGGCGTCTCACTCTCCTCCAGGCAATCAGGCAATTTTCTCCACGTGTGGTTCCAACAGTTGATTAAACAGATGACTCACGCATTTTATCACCAGGCCTCTCCTCTGAACCTTAGCTGTTTATTTAAGATTTCCACTTTGAGGTCACAAAGGCTCCTCCAACTCAACACGTGTCCATGACCAAACTCACGATCTTTATCTCTAAACCCTGCCCTCCTCCAGAATTCCCTGCCTCACGGGCCCTCCATCCCCTTATGCAAGCCAGAAATCTAGAATTCTCCTCAGTGCCTTTTTCTCTGTCACCCCTGTATCCAATCAACTGCCACGTCCTGGAGATTTTACCATCTAACTGTCTCTCAAGTTTGCATCCTCTTCTCCTGGATGCCCCACCACCAACTCGGCCAGGTCATTGTCAGTTTTTGCTTTGATGACTATGACAGCTTCTTCACCGGTGTCCCACATCCACTCTTGCCCTCTTCCAACTTATTGTCCTGTGTGCTGCCAGATTCAGCTCTTTGAAATAGGCATCAGATCAGATCAGATCACATCTAACACCTTAAATTCCTTCTACGGCTTCTCATTCCTCTTAGGAGCAAGACTAACCTTCAATAAGGCATGCAAGTCCCTGCCTGGTCTAGAGCATCCTCTCGCACCAGTCTTTCCTTCCTCCCTCCACCAATCATTGTCTTCAATGGAATTTATGGGCACACTGGCCTCCTCACTTGGACTTGGGAAGCCCAATAACACATTGACAACCCTCTTGACCCTTATTAACTTCAGTTCATAAGAATATCTTGTCCAGTAATCCTTGGAATGAATCCTAAGGCCCTCCATATATTATCACAAGCTACGTGGTTCCAATTAAGGGATATATTTTGCAAAGAATGACCTATTTTCAAAATGCAGATTTGCTTGATTCCCTTTGATTAAGAGACTATGATCCAGTTTATTCCCAGGGGAAAAAAAATCACTCTTTAGAAACCCTTTCTGTGTCTCTATAGATTTCTTTGTTTTTCTCATTGTAGCCATGGAAATAAAGAAGCCTTCTCTTGCCGGGGAATCCAGCTGGCTGTGGACTGGTTCAGGGACAGAGGACACACCTACATCAAAGTTTTTGTTCCATCCTGGAGGAAAGAACCACCAAGATCTGACGCCCCGATCAGAGGTACGCTGGAGCACATGCTCAAGAGGTGCTCTACACCTTTCCTTGGTAGCACTCCTGACAGTTACAGTCAGTTATCTACTTAGCCATTTGTTTGATGAAGTCTATCTTCCTCACTGGACTGTAAGCTCCATGAAAGCACTGACCGTGAATGTTCCCTGTTACAGCCTTAGCACCTAGCATTGTAGCTGGCATATAGTAGGTGCTCAGTAAATAGTTGTTGATAGATAAATGAATAAAGTAGTTAATCTTTGAGTGTGAATGATTAAGTTCCAAAAATAATGTCTTACAACTTTTAACACTCTGCAGAAAGATTGGGTCTGCATCCCACCCCTCATAGAATATAGGAACTGAAGGAGACATTCATTTGGTTCAGTGATATTTATTTACTGAATATCTGGTTCAATCTCTTCATAAAAAAAAAAAGGAAACTGAGACCCAGAGAATTCTTTATTTTTAATTCTCGCACTAGCTAGGAATATTTTAAGCTACAAATAATAGAGCAGGTGGTTTAAATAAACAGGGGTTTTTGTTTGTTTGTTCACCTTTCTTATAAGAAGACGACACATGCTAATTCATTGCTGGCATGTTTCAGCTGAGTCAATGTCAGCACTGATGGTGGGGCTGACCTCTTGGTGATTCTGGGAGGTTTCACTGAATTTCCCTCCAGCCTTTTAACCACAAGTTTTTGGTTTTGTTTTCAATTCTAACAACGGTCACCATTTGCTTCTCTTTCTGATTCTCTCCCATTATTTTTTAAGTAAAATGCTATTCTTGTTTTATGGATGCAGTATCTTTTTGACTATTTCTATACTAATACAGACTTGTGATAAGTTCTCTTAAGTTCCATGAATCATATTTGTTTTTTCTGGGGTCAGTTCTCTTTGTTCATGTTTCTCTTTCTCTCTTTGTGCTGTTAAATCTTCTTCTCAAAAGTTTGGTGATCCTTTGCTTGTCAGTGTTTACTCGTTAATAAAGAACCAGGTTGGTTAAATACATACCTGTGCAATTTCCATGGGTTTTCTCTCCCGGCATTAGGATCTTTCTCTAAAAGGCAGAGCTGACCATTGGTGTTGACCAGTGGATTTTGCTTGAACGCATCCTGCATGGAGCAGCCAGGCAGCTGGGC